CGGGTGTTATCATTAGAATAAACGAAAAAGGATGGTGTAATGAGCTTGTAATGCATGATTGGATTGATAATGTTTGGGCCGAGCGTAATCTATTAGGAAATTCATGATCTCTTCTTGTTTTGGATGCCTTTAGAGGTCACTTGGTAGACTCTGTTAAGCGCCAGTTTAATAAAAAAACACTGATCTTGCAGTTATTCCACGTGGAATGACTAGTAAATTACAGCCCCTTGATGTCGTGATCAACAAAAGCTTCAAGCATCAGGTATATTAAAACAAACTTTTTTTTTTTTTTTATTAAGCACATTAATAACCCTAAACTTTATCAAGATGCGTTGCCGTTACAATGAATGGATGGTCAATTCAATTCATCAATTAATGCCTGCTAGATATATCCGAAAGCCATCGTATGCTATGTTAGCTCTATGGGTAAAAGAATCTTGTGATGAAATTAGTCCTCATTTAATTCGAAGTGCATTTAAATGCTGTGGTATCTCGGTAGAAATGGATGGGTCGGAAGATGATTTAGTCTTTGATTATGAATTGTTGGATGAGGAGAATGCAAGTAATGAAAATACTGAAGAAGTATTGACTTTTGATAATATTGATGGAGACGAATATGAAGAAGTCGAAGTTGATAATGTTTGGGAATAATGATAGAGTTTGATTTTTGTTTTTTTTTTTCTTCTAATTTTATATCTGCATATTGTAGCTTACGATAATCAAATTTGATTCTATAATAAAGCGGCTAGATTTAAGAAATAAATTCAAATTTCGAAATTGGTTCAATTAATTTGTTAAATTCATTGCTTCGACTTTTTACACTTCCCTAAATTTTTGATGCAATATATTGAACATGATTAGTATGGTGGTTTGCAAAAAAGTGTGACCTGTAAATCGTGAAAATTGGCCGATCTTAGCAGATTTTTTAATTCTCCCAAGATTTCGAATAAATATAGACGTTACTAATTGACGATAGAAATTTAGAATCTCAGAAATTTTCAACTATCATCATTATGAAATCACTTTTTTGCAAGCCACCATAATTTAGGCCCAATTCTAAAAAATCGCAGCAATGTCATAACGCACAAGTTAGCAGATCTAAAATCTGAATTTATTTAGCTAAATTATAAAAATTTAAATTTAAAAAATTTTTTTTGACCAATCTATAAGTAGTATCCGGGTATAAATCAAAAATTGGTATTCAATTGCTACAGGGTATATTGTACAGATACAATACCCGGGTATAAACAAAAAATTGGCCTTCAAAATACTGCAGGGTATATCTCATAGGAGGTACACATGTCGGATAAATACGGTATATAGTAATACTCTAATAGGTTATATTATCTACAATTTTTAGATAAGGTTATAACTATAACGTATTAGTTATACAGATTTATATTAATAATTTTAAAAAATTTGATTCCTTAAGAATATAAAAAATACTTATTATTGTATATTTTAAATTTATTAAACCAACTATTTTTCTTTATATGCGACTCAAGACTAAAGATGGTTTTCTATACAAACTGTTAATTGTATATATCTTCTATATTTTAAACACTATTTTTTTTGTGCCTTAATATTTCACGAATTTTCACAAATTTTTATCTTGTTATAAAAAAACAATATATTTGCATTCTATGTATATATTAAGTTAATACTTTATGATCTGATCCAAATTATATTTTTACTACAAAATAATTATAAATTTAGTTTGGTTCAAGAAACAATAACACATTTATACATATATAATTCAATTTTTAGCTTAAAGAATCCGATTAACTATTATCCCTTAAATTGTAATACAGGCAAATTTGCCTGTATTTATTTGTTTAAACTTTAATTTTTTAATAAAATCTTAAATATTAATTTTAACAATATACTTTTTAAGTAAAATATATATATATATATATTTTTTTTTGGTGTTAAGGTGGCCTCTTGGCCAGCTCCTTTTATTCGGTTATAGTTAACTTTT